TATATATATATATACACCCAGAGAGAGAGAGAGAGAGATCTGGGAACCTGCTCCTGTAAAGGATGACAAGCCTAGAAAACTCTCTGGGCCTGTTCTACTGTGTCACAGGGGGTCTTTATGAGTTAGAAGGACACCCAACAACATATATTGACCCTTGAACAATGCAGGGATTAGGGGTGCTGACCCCAGCACACTCAAATCCATGTATAACTGTTGACTCCCCCAAAACATAGCTATAATAGCCTACTGTTGCTAGAAGTTTTACTGATAGAATAAACGGTGGATTCACATAGTTCTTGCTGTGCAGTTACTAGACTTTCACATGAAGACACTCACTCACACATGCACAGCAGGGAAGTGTCTGACCTGTCTGGCCTGATGATGTACTATCATTAGGTGTTAGCAGACCATCCTGGAGGACTTCACCCTTGACATCTGCATGGTGAGGGTGCTGAGGAAGAGGAGGGTTGGTCATGCTGTCTCTGGGCTGGCACAGGCAGAAGAGGTGGGGGAAGTAGAGGGAGGCAGGAGAGGCAGGCACACACAGTGTAACTTTATGGAGATACATCGTCATTTTTTTTTTACTTTTTGCCTTTTCATCTCTCTAAAAATGTTTCTATATGGTACCAGTCCTTCTGTCACCAGGGGCTCCTGAGTGAGGGACCTTGCTTCCTTGCTTTCTACTGACAAGGAATTGAACAAGAGAGGCAAAATGTCCACACCAACCAAAGTTTATTAAAGAGAAAGGAGAAGTTGGGGGGGGGGCCTCACGAGGGACAGACAGTGAGGGGCTTTTGCTATGTTAGCCTCCCATCTCCCTGAAGACTTTCCTAGTGTTTATGAAGGGTTTTAGGTGGGAAAAGGGCATTATCTTTATTCATAAAATAGACAGGGATTTCCGGGGAAAAGGTAGGGTTATGAAAATCAGGTACACACACAGGAAATAGACAAGATGGATTCCACCACAAAGGCTTTGGGAACAAAGATGGGACTCATTGCAAAGGCTTCTGGGATGCTTGACATGACTTATTCGGGGATGCTGTGCATGCTTGAGGGTCTCTGGTTCAAGTCCCAGGGAGGGACTCTTGCTCTTGCCTGTCTCTGGTGGAAGGGCATGCTGACTTTCACTGTAGATGCTTGCACCTGGTGAGGAACCTTGAAAGACAGCTCCAGAGATTTATCAGCATTTTGTAGCTGGACATGCACGTTTAAGGCCTTGAAATATAGCTTCTTATCTTGTCTAAGGGCCTGGATTGTTCACTGTAAGCAGTTTTCTGGTGCCAGTAGCAGGAACAATGTGGTGGTCAGCATGTAGGCTTAAATTCCAAGAACACTAAGTCAGAGGCTGCTTGATTCAACCAGCCCAATTCCCTTCCTGTCTCACTCCCACCGTTTGCCTTAGTGTCAGGGCCCGTATCACAGAAGGTTCCCTGTGGTAACAGAAGTCAAAAGCAGTCTTGAATAATCAGACCCCTCTGCCAGATTGTCTGATGTCAGTTTGTTTTCTGGCACTGCTTCTTCTGCATCATCTTCCTCATCATCTGGCACAGGTTCCAAAGTACTCATCTCCATCGGTCATCTTCTGTTCATTCCTTGGGTGTGGTGGTTTCCATTTCTCCAAGATGCATACCGTGAAAAAAAAATCCACGTACATATGAATAGCAGTGAAACACTGACATAGTAGGACCAGGCAGTGTTTCCTTCTGTTGGACATAGGGTCGCCATGAATCAGAGCCCACTCGAGGGCACCTAACAAGTGGACCTGAACTTCAACTCGTGTTGTTCAAGGATCAACAGTGTACATCTGTATGTGTGTGTGTACACACACACCCCTCAAGCAGTGCACAGGAGTGTTAGATGTCGCCCATCCCCCTCCTTGTTCAACTTCCCTGGACACAACCACTGTTTCCCGTTGTCCTGTCTCTTCTGAGACCAGCCTCAGAAGGAGACATCAAACACCTGCGGACGTTTTCAGGAATCTTTACACACATCCCAAAGAAAACTTTAAAAGATGTTTAAAAAAAAAAAAAAAATTCTTGGCAATTTAACCTGGAGCGACTTCTCGCAGCATTACACAAACATGCCTAAAGTCAATTCACAACTTGAAAATCAAGGCACAGTTTGAAGGGGGGGGGGGAACCCTCATCTTTTGAGAAATGTTAAAAACCAAGTAAAAATGCTATTCGGGAAGGTTCTCCCGTAGGATTTGGCCAAAGGCAATCACAGAAGGCGTCTTGCAGGACGCTGCCAAACCCCAAAGGGTCCACGCAAGCTGTCCTTCTCAAGCTTGCGGCGTCCTAAAACTCACCCGCGCCACTGGTTAAAGATACAGAGTCTCAGGCCTTCCCCTTCTGCTTGGGGGCTGAACTTGGTTCCGGGTTTTTTTTTAAACGAGAGCCCCACGTGACGCTCAGGTCCCTGCACGCTCAGGGCTCAGCCCTACAGTAATTCCCCAACGTGCAGAAAGTAAACACCTGGGGGAGCAGGTGGCTTCCTGCTCCGGGTAGGTTTGTTGGACTTGTGCTGCAAGGAAGGGGGGGGGGGTCCCCCTCGAGTCTCATTAAGGCCCCAACCAGCCTGGGCACGAACGCTAATTAGCTCAACCCCTCTCCCTCCCAGGACCACGCCGCAGTCACCTGCTGGGTGGGGCTCCGCGCCCTTTAGGACCACAGATACCTCACCTGTGTCCTCCTAGGCCAGGTGCGCCAGTCTCCTGGCGGTGGGAGCTAGAGGACGCTGTGCTAACTAACATACAGACGCCTGGCCCTGCCACCTGAATCCTCAGTTTTCGGAATCTGCATTTTTAACAGCTCCCGGTCACAGCGCTTCACCCTGAAGCTGGCGACCCACTGCCCTCATTTAAATTTTAAATTCAAATAGACAAAGTAGAGAACTGCGAGCCGAAGTCTGGCTTCTGAGCCCAGCACAACCTCCACGCGGGATTCTCAACTTTGGCCGCACCTCAGAATCACCTGGGGAGCTTTGGGGGGGGGGAACCAACGCCCACGTCCCAGCCCCAACCAATTAAGTCAGAATCCGAAAGCGTGACCTGTGCAGCGCGGCAATGCGGGATCACCTGGGAGCTCGTTAGAAATACCGACGCTCAGGCCCCAGCCTGTACCCACAGCATCAGAATCTGCATTTTAACGAGCTCCCCAGTGATTCCGTGCGCATTAAAGTTGGAGCAGCGCTGCGCTGCAGAAATTTTAATGGGCCAGTGTATCACCTGGGGACCTCGTTAAAATGCAGACACGGTTTCTCCAACTTTAATGTGCATGCGAATCACCTAGGGATCTTGTTACAATGCAGATTCTGACTCCGCGTGTCTGGGTGGAGCCCGAGAGTCTGCATTTCCGACCGGCTCCTAGGTGGTGCGGAGGCTGCCTGCGCGGACCACACTTGCACCCGACCCCTGAGGTCCTGGCTCCAGGCCAGTCAGCCGTCAGGGATGTAGATTAATCGCGCTGCGCGGAAGGTGAACAGAATTGCCGGGACATGCGCGTTCCGGTCGAGGTGGGGGGCGGTAATTTCCGAACTCCGGGAATTCGTTGTGTGAGGTCAACCGTTCCGAGGGACTCTGTGGGAGCTCGGATTCGCACTCCATGTCCCGGCGCAAGCAGCCCAAGCCCCAGCACCTCAACTCCGAGGAGCCCCAGCCCGAGCTCCGGGCATTGGCGGAGGCGGCCCGGCAGGTGGCTGCGTGGGAACCAGGGGGGCCAGGTGAGTTGAGCTGAGGACGCCTGGCCGAGGGGTTGTGGGGTTCATGGACGTGCCCCGGGCCCGCGCGGGTGCGAGGTCCATGCAAGGGGCGTGCAAGGGCGGGCGAACCTTCCAGCTGCGGTTCTGGGGCTCAGACCTGAGCGCCCTCACCTCTGTGAGTTAAACCCTCTTGTACATTTCCCACTCCGCGG